CAAGGAAACTTTCCTCCAGTCTCAAGAGCATTCCCTGTTCGCAGGTTTTACTGTACATATAATTTAATTAAATTGTGCACTTTTCAGGTACAGATGATCAAGGGCCAGATGGAGAACGTCAAAATGATCAGAAAGATTCACAGGATGACATCACCCCTGAGTATTCAGACAAGGCCTATACAATTTCTGAAAAAAGTGAAACCACTAGTATTGAACTTGAGAATTCTATTGCTATTTCATCACTCGTGGGTAATGGTACTGTAGTCCAATCTGTCACTCAATTATCAGATTACAATCATGGTGACAAGATTGATGAAAGTTCATCTGCAACTGACTATGTTAATGGTAGCGAGCCATATGGCAAACTTGATATTGACTCAGACTCAACATCTATGAACTCGCATTCAGAATTGGACTCTGACGGTTATGAAAATATATTTTCTGACTCTGAATTTGATTCTTATAGTGATTCAAGCATATACAGTTGTTCATCTGATTCGGAGACTGAACGCACATCCTGTTCAGAAATTGAAAATGACTCACTTGATCTTGACAAAGATATAATTGGCAGTGATGTGTATTTAAAGATACTGTCATGTTTTATTCGCAATGAACTTTCAGCTACAGCTTGCAAAGATGTGTTACAAACATTTCAGAAACTAACTCCAGAATCTCAGGTTTGGAATCAAATATCATATGACAAGATATGGAGCATAGTGGATAATGTTACCAAGCAAATTCATTATTGCCCAGATTGTAGCAGGATATTTCCCGAGGATGACGTTGACTGTGTGGAATGTCCGTGTGGTGGTCTAAGATATATTGGTACAGCAGAGGAACAGAGAAAAGCTAATCGACAACCATGCAAAAAGTTTGTGTTTCTTGATCCAAAGAAATACATAAAGGACCTACTTGAGCTACCAGGTAAAGTATTATTGGAATGTTTCAGTTCAATTGAATAATTTGGCATTATTTTCTAAAATCCTACTTTTCAAGATGGCCACTGAATTTCAAAATGGCGGCCATTTTCCCTTAAAAAAACGTAATCTTTGATAACTTAAATACCAGTGAACGGATTTGGTTCAAATTTTATATGATGATGCCTAGGGACAAAGTAGATCTGTTCGAGTAAGAATTTTCAAGATGGCAGCTGAATTTCAAAATGGCGGCCATTTTTCGTAAAAAAAATAATCTTTGATAACTCAAATACCAGTGAACGGATTTGGTTCAAATTTTATATGCTCATACCTAGGGACACAGTAGCTCTGTTCAAGAAAGAATTTTCAAAATGGCCACTGAATTTCCAAATGGCTGCCATTTTTATAAAAGAAAGTAATCTTTGATAACTCAATTGCTAATTGACGCACAAGACTGTGGGTCCTTTATTACATTGTCCTAATTATCTTTTACAGGAACTTATTTTATTTATCTTTTACAGGAATGTGGGATGGCCTACAGAAAAACAAAGGAGTCATACTCGAACGCTATGAAACTAGTGATGGGGTACTAAAAGATGTTACAGATGGTGAGGTCTACAGAAACCTAATAAAAACTGGATTTTTATCAAATCCTCACAATATTAGTGTCATGATGAATACAGATGGTGTTAACCTCTATAAATCAACAGGTGTTGAAATATGGCCGATTTTCCTATCAGTGACTGAACTCCCTCCTGCAGAGAGGTTTGCTCGTGAAAATATGATCCCAGCTAGTTTATGGCAAGGAAAGGGTAAGCCACCTTTCCAACAGTACATGGAAGTATTCTCATCGGAAATGAACAAACTATATACAGAGGGCATAGATATTCATGTAAATCAAGAAATGATAAATGTGAAAGTAGTAGTCATTACATCACCAGCAGACCTACCAGCTAGGGCAAATATGATGAACATGACATATTATAACGGCCAGTATGCTTGCACAACTTGTGAAATACCAGGCAAAACTGAAGTACAAGGTGGTGGACACACTAAAGCATTTCCAGCCCAGCACACCTACAAATACAGAACAGACAAGGAGATTCGCGATTGCATGACAAAAGGCCAAGAGAAAAAAAGAATCCTGGGTTTTAAAGGTAAATCTGGGCTCTATGATCTGAAAGGAGTGGACTTGAGCAAACTTTGCCCACCCGACTACATGCACTGTGTCTGTATGGGTGTAATCCCAAAAATTAATAAAAGGTGGTTTTCTTCTGAAAACAGCAATGAAAGTTACCATGTTGGTAAAGAAATAAAAGAAATTTCAAGAAGAATGCAGTATATTAAGCCACCAAACATGATAGAAAGGTTACCACGAAACCTGGAGAAACATTATTTACACTTCAAGGCAACTGAAAATCAAACATGGATGCTTTTTTATGCAGTACCTTGCCTCGAAGGAATCCTCCCTAAGAAATACTTGGACCATTTCAAAAAACTCTCTGAAGGCATACACATTTTGCTTGGTGACAGTATAACTACAGAACAAATTAACAGAGCAGAACTTCTCCTCAAAGAATTCTACGTTGAATACCCCAAGCTATATCCCCCTGGAGACTGTACATTGAACTTGCACTACATTGGAGCCCATTTCGGATATTGGGTCCAACAATTGGGACCATTGTGGAATTGGAGCTGCTTTCCCTATGAAGATTCAAATGCACATATATTAAAAATGTGCCATGGAACAGGGGATGTAACAACACAGATAATGAGGCAAAAAACAGCTGAGATTAAAATAAGGACACAAAATCAACCAGTCAAAATCAAAGAGTTGAATACAACTGAGGAAAAACTTAAAATACATGGTAAAACAAGGCCATTATCTGATTCTGATCATGATCTGGACTCTGTGCCTCAGAACTGTACATCAGTGGCTTCACGAATCTCCATAAATGGAGAGATGTTCTACTCTGATGAGTATGCACGCATGAAGAGGAGAATTTGTAACTGTGTGGAATTAAAAAATGGAAAACGTGGTTTCATTAAGAGGTTTGTTACTGATGGCAAAGAAACACATTTTGCAGTAATTGATATGCTCAGAGTGCAGAGAGGTTCAACTTATGCAAATAAAGCAAAACCTTCAGGGAAAACAGAGCTGTATCACATAAGTGAGCTAAAGAGAAAACTTGTTTTAGTTCAGTGTGGAGAAAATATGCAAATGTATGTTCTAGCAATGCCTAATGGCATTGGACGCTCCGTTTTCAAATAAAGCATCTGTTCGGGCGATAACTGAAATATTTTCCATTGTGTTCCTTACACCATATTGAACATAATATTCACATGAAATTGACTTTTATAAAGTTCTTATGCATTGACAATAATCATAATTCTTGAATATTAGAATATTTGTAGAATATTTTCCAGGACTTAGATATTTCACTTTATTCTGAAAAAGCTCTGCAAGTGTTGCCAGGATGAATATATATTGAATATTAAATACACAGTAAAATAATTTGTATCTTTAATACAAAATAATGTTTTATTTTGAATAAATTCTGTAAGTGTTCTTAAACCTAGTACATAGCGTTCTTGAACCTAGGTAAATAACAATTTTATGTAATAAAACATACTATAACATACTAGTATGTTGCTGTTGGATTCAAATACAATTTCTTACAATATACTTAAATACTTTTTGAACTATAATTCAGAATTCCTGTTATTCTGAAGATAATTCTTGAATTTATATATATATATATAATAATAATATGTATAAAAGTCAAAATTCTTAGTGTACATACTAAATATAATAAAATAATTTGAAATAAAAGCAGAGAAATTCTTCCTACATGTTTCTTTATTTAAACATCTTTCTTGAAGATTTTTAAATAAAGAAACATGTAGGAAACATGTGGTGAAAAAGTGAAGAATATCTGAGAACATATTTTTTAGTTCTTCATTATTATTCAAATATCCTTCAAAGAAGTAGGTGAAAATAAGAAGAATTTCCAAGATTACCAATAATTCAAAATGTTCTTTGTTATTCTTAAGATATTCTTCAAATAAGCTGGTGAAAAATTGAAGAATATCTAAGAACACATAAGTTCGTCATTATTATTCAAATATCCTTTAAATAACATGGTGAAAATATGAAGGATTTCCAAGATTACCAGTAGTACAAAATGTTCTTTATTATTCAACAAATATTCTTCAAATAAGGTGGTGAAAAATTAAAGAATATCTAAGAACATAGAAGTTCTTCACTATTATTCAAATATCCTTTAAACAAGGTGGTGAAAATATGAAGAATTTTCAGGATATCGAACAATACAAAATGTTCTTTATTATTCTTCAGATATTCTTCAAATGAGGTGGTGAAAATGTGAAGAATATCTGAGAACATTGTAGTTCCTCATTATTATTCAAATATCCTTCAAACAAGTTAATGAAAATATAAAGAATCTCCAAGAATACCATAACTACAAAATGTTCTTCATAATTCTTCAAATATTCTTCAAATGAGGTAATGAAAAATTGAAGAATATCTAAGAACATAGAAGTTCTTCACTATTATTCAAATATCCTTTAAACAAGGTGGTGAAAATATGAAGAATTTTCAGGATATCCAACAATACAAAATATTCTTTATTATTCTTCGAATATCCTTCAAATGAAGTGGTGAAAAAATGAAGAATATCTGAGAATATTTTAGTTATTCATTATTATTCTCTCATTCCTTAAACAACATGGTGAAAATATGAAGAATTTCCAAGATTTCAAGAAATAGAAAATGTTATTCATTATTATTCAAATATTCTTCATTCAGGGTGGTGAAAATATGAAGTATTTTGAAGAACATGAAACATTCTTTATTTTTCTTCAATTATTCACCATAGAATTTGAAGAATATTCAAGAACATAAATTATTCTTTATTATTCTTCAAAAATACAAGAATATGGTTAAATCTTTATTCTTCACAATTTATCTCGATATTACAATATTCATCACACCTGAATATTCATGAATAATTCATGAATATTCATATCACAAGAATATCATTTCGCCGGGGTAATCATTACCTGGACAGTTGTGTATGTTGCAAGATCTTGTCTCATCCAAGGGGTCTGTACAATTTGCCCCATTGTAGAAAGGGCCATAACATGTGCGAATCCTGCTCTGGCCACCTCCGCCACATGTCAGGGAGCATCTACTCCACTCCTCCCATTGTGTAACAACTCCATTCACTGAAAAAACAAGCCAAACATAATAGGAATTCTACGATATCTATCTTAATATTAATAAGTGATTTGGTACTCGAAAGAATTTTGTTTCAAAATGAATCATAAAATTGATTAACTATCATACATTAGAAAATACTATGGCTGGCAGTCATTCGCTTAATACAAAGAACGATAGTAGAATAAAGTATCGAGGCATTGAACATCAGTACTCTCACTACGATGAGAACAAAAATAAATTATGGAAAATTTGGTATGGGAAATATTTCAATCGTAATAAGGTTTGTGATCAAACTAGAAATCATACTCTACATTTTGAATATATTTATACATTGTCAAAAGTTACCCGGGCAGAAGTGTGTGTTACAATCCTGCTTCTCCTCTCTAGCCCCCACACAGTCCTCCCCATCATAGAAGGGTCCCAAACATACCCTGGTCCTCAGCTGGGTGCCCCCTCCACATGTTACATTACACTGGTTCCACTCTGTCCATGTCTCAAATATTCCATCCACTACAAGTTTAATAGAATTCATATAAACATTTACGTAACAACTGGTGTATGAGTAATATGCAAAAGCATTCATCTAATACAGGTATCCAGAACATATGTATACTTCCTTCATTCTGAGTTCTCTGAGCCCCTGGGTTAGGATTACTGAAAATGCCATTTTCAAAGTCTAAATCTAGTTTTCACGATTAATATGTTGTATTTAAGTAATTAATGTAAGCAAGCATTCATGGCTACATGGTCAATTCCACCCTTGGTCATCTCAATGTCAGGCCAACTCCAATGATTTACATGTATTTTACCTGGGCAATTGTGTGTGTTGCAAGGCTCAACTTCCTCCAGGTCTCCCACACAGTCCTTGCCTCCATGTGCTACATTGTTACACTGCCTAGTCCTTCCATGTATACCTCCACCACAACTCACACTGCATGCGTCCCAAGCTGTCCAAGGACTGAATGTGCCATCAACTGAAAGCAAATGTAACAATGTGTTAGATATGATGCAGATTATGTTGATGAATCACTGTGTCTGACTCAACAAAATCATCAAACATACATTTACCAACTTCGATGTTAAAGGTTTTGTAATGACTGCAAATATTATATTTGACATAATACAAGAACTTAATGGATGCTGTGTGATCATTTTTAAATGTATTGTAGTTGAATGTCAATTTTTTCAATCCTTTTCAATATCAAGTTTTCTCCAAATTAGTCAACTAGAAGACTGAACACATTGTTTCAAGTGTTTTAGTAGTAAAAGTTAAGCAGATGCAGTGAACAAAATAAAATGGAGTGCAGTATATAATCAATTCATGTCACACAGCCAAATGCTTGATAAACACAATATTCATAAGGTGAACAAAACATGGGGTTTAATCCAGTGTTGAATTGAAAAGTTCAAGGCAAATGTAAAATGACGAAACTTCTGTATGTTTCTTTGAGCAGGGAGCCATTTATTTGAGTTAATTATCCATTTCCTACCTGGACAATCATATACATTGCAATCCTGTGTTTCAACCATGGGTTCTGGGCAGTCAGCTCCTCCATAGTAGGGTCCATTACAAGTTCTGCTTCGTGTCCTTGTTCCCCCTGCACATGTCACACTGCACTTGCCCCACTCAGTCCACTCTTCATGCACTCCATCAACTACAGAGAATTATGACAATTTATGTACTCAATATACAAAAGCTTTGTAGAATGGTATTACGCTCCATCAACTACAGAAATAACATCATATTTTTACTTAAAACCAACCTGATGGTTTTCATCTAATAGACTAGAGACTTATAGCAAGGAAATTAGTGTCTTCCTTTACAAAAAGTATATAATACATACACATTAATATACATAACAATAATGATACAAATGTTGAGGCTCTTATAAGAATTGCATATAGGACCATTATCTTATTTACATGTGAGTGCTATATAAGTTTCTTATTTCTTAGCTTATGGCCTTTCTTATAACTTCTTTCAGCTTTAATTACTGAAATGCAAATTACCAGGACAAAACATATCATTGCAACCCTCAATCTCTGTGTCGTCTCCACTACAGTTGGCTCCACCATAGAATGGTCCAAAGCAGTTCCTGGTTCTCTTACGTGAACCTCCTCCACATGTGACATTGCAGTTGCTCCATGACACCCAGGTTTCATATGCACCATCCACTTTAACAGAGGTAATAAAATCTACATTTACTTTTGGTTCATTATACATGAAGAATACTAATGGGGCTTGGTGACTTGTATAGATGGTAGTAATAACTGGGTTGTTTCCAAAGCAACTTGTATTGTTTAATAAGCACATATTGCCCCAAAATCAATTTTATTTGCATACTATGCAAATCTTTGAATCTGTGTTGTTTTGTGAATTTAGTTGTCGCATTATCGTTGTTACATAGTTTCAAGACTAAGAAATATTTACATGTCATTGTATGCCAATCTAACTGAGGGGAATGTTTCCATCTATAGACAGTCACCCCTCATTAGATTATTCTTCAAGAAACAGTTGGTTGAATGTATGTTGCTATATAATTGAAGCATCATATCATACAAACACAACACTAGCATATAGAAGTCAAGTCACATCCAATTTCACATTATAAATACAATGCAAAATTCAAGTCAATACCAATGCAAAGCTGCTAACAAATTTAAGCACAAATGTCATGTAAGCGAATACAAATTGCACATTTTCTTCAACAACATAAAGGAAAGCCATTCTGCCATTTACATTAGATATTTTAACTTACGGACTGATCCATCTAAAACACATGTAAGTTATTATAAAAAAGGTGGTTCTAATTATGCTATAATGTTGGATGTTGTTTTTGACTACATTATGAGCCTGGAAGAGAAAATTGTATGTTTTGATTATTTCAAAGTAACATAACAGTAGATAAATCATTTGTATTGGTAGATGTATACACAATTATGAAAAGTGAAGACACATTACCTGGGCATGGCCACATATTACACTCCTGCGTCTGATTGTGATCACCTTCACACTCCAGACCCCCATAGAATGGTCCAATGCATTCACGGTGACGTCTCTGTAGACCTCCGGCACAACTTACGTCACATGTATCCCACTCAGTCCATATACTAAACACACCATCTATTGGACAATTGTGCTCGTTACATGCTTGAGACTGATTGGCTGGACCAATGCAATCAAGTCCTCCATAAAATGGTCCAATGCAATCTCGAAACCTTGACTGTTCCCCTCCACCACAGGACAATGAGCAATCCATCCATGCTGCCCATGTTGTAAATACACCATCAACTATAATAACAGCATACAGACAGGTAAGTACATTACATTTAATGTATGTGTATAAAGTCAAAGTGTGTATAATGCTCAGAACACTGGAATAATTAAATGACATGGTTGTGCATATGGATGAGTTGTGGCTTGTAAGTTGAATATAATTTCAAATCTATTTAATCATGTTCAAGAAAATGCATTGTTAACCCTTCTCACTATTTAGGGCACTTGAGTTCATTTTGTAATAAATAATCAAGAAATAAAATACATTAGAAATTCATAAAAAGAAATTCATTAAAAGAACATCCTAGAATATATAAAGTGGTGATACTTACTTGGGCAATGATGTGTGTTACAAACTTCTGTTTCCACAGATTCTCCTTCACAAGGTTTACCACCATGAGCTGCTCCCCCACATTGCCTATCACGCAGTCGTGTCCCTCCACCACAAGAAGTAGTACAGTCACTCCACTGTTCCCAGGATGAGTACTCTCCATCAACTAATCAATGAACCACCACAAAACAGTTAATAATATATCATCAACTCATAAAATCTTTATAAAATACCAGTGGACTCCATTAGTTGCGCGAGATTGAGGTTCTTTATCACCAAGAGTGTTGTGTCAAACAAGTATAATCATGATAAATTAATGTGAAATAGTTTGAAATATTTTTCTTTGAAATTTATTATTATGACCTCTGACTGTGTATACATTATATTAAGATTGAAACTGCAGCTAGAATACTATTTTTATTTTTCATAAATGCTAGTTAAGCATTAGAACGTTTTATAAAACATTTTCCAAATTTTATAACTTTGCATTCACTTTTATTTCAAGACCCCATACTTTTAGTGCCACATAATATTGACTCTTACCTGGGCAACTTCTTGTGTTACAGGCTTGGGAATCGGACAATGTCTCATTACAGTCCTGGCCATTGTAGAATGGTCCATGGCATTCCCTGCTGCGATTCTGCACACCACCACCACATGTTAGACTGCAGTCACTCCAAGGGGACCACGTCATCAGAACACCATCAACTGAAGATGAAACATTATGTTATGAGGCTTTATCTGATTCAATCAAAAGCTTCATCTGGTGTGATAATATAAAGTAATAACAAATGTAGAATTGGATTTTTGATTTTAAACAGCATATCTGATTTACACAATGCAAATAAGCAGAGATTTAAGTGTTAGAACATATAGAAAAAAACATATCTCAATAAGTAGCTTGGTAAAATGAATCAGAATGGGCATAATATGGTGGACTCACATGGTGAAAAGGAACCAATAACCATGAAATTCTATTTTTTTGAAATTGTGTGACTAATCTCTTCATCCACAAGTCACCAAAACTTTGATATGCATGAAGGTACTAGTACGCATTTTATCTAAATTTCTAATTATTTCAATGTTTCAAAAAGAAATAGGTCAAATTGCAAAAGTAGGTCAAATCACTGAATAATTAGGTCATTAAGAAATCAATATGAGAGTATTTGTGAAGTACTCTGAAGTAAATGAAGTTGAGTTATTTAATATGAGAATAGTTACATTGCAATATGCTTGAAACTAAAGGTCAACTTTTTGCAAAATTTACTAAACATTTAACCTGGGAAGCTGAATCTCAAACTAAACACTTCTCAGATTGGTTGCCTGGACCACTTGATTTATATATTTCTCAAACAATGAGGCCAAATATAAGCCTGACAAGTGTTGTCAATTACTAGGATGAAATATACGTATATGTATAAGTATTGGTTCAGACGAATGGCCATTTTCAATTTCCTACTTTTGTCACTGACATACAAACAGAAGGACAGACAGATGAGTGGGCAATTTCATTGTCTCACCATGTGAGCCAAAATTATCATGCAGTTTTGGGTCCATTAAGATCTTTATTTTATTCTGCGACTACAATTAAACTCATGCAGCAGTGAGACTACAATTTGACTACATTAGCCAGTTGGGATTTAAGGCAAAAGCAACAACATGAATACACCACCTCAATGTTATATATGCAGAATAGGGCTAAGCTGAAACATTCTAAAATACATTTTATTCATTTTGTATTAATAAAGTATATCATACAACTTTAAAATTAGCTATAGCATTTGAAATTTAGAATAATCAACTTAGAAAAATCGACTAATTGATATTTTAATGGAAGCGCATACTTTAGTCTTTCTAGACCAAAAATGAATACATATATTTTTATTTTTGGATCAATACTTTTATGTAAATAGTTGTATTCAAACACAATTAAGGGGAGCTAGCTCCTATTAGCCATTAGTATAGATAACATGAATGCAAATTCCAATCCCAAAGAAACAACTAGTGTATTTAGCAGAATCTGGAGTCCTTCTGATGTAATGAGTAGTACCTGGACAATTGTGCTCATTACAGCTCTCAAAGAGGGTATCTGGACCCTCACAGTCATTGCCTCCATGCTGTGATTCTGTACAGAACCTGTATTTCTGCCTTTTGCCACCTCCACATGTTGTATTGCAGTCACTCCATCCTGACCACAGACTCCAGTCACCATCCACTGCAATTAGAATCCAATGAGTAAATTATCAAGGTCAGGTGCCCTCTCTTCTAAATGTAAAAGATCAAGCAACAAATTTCTTATTTTTACAATCAAAAAATTCTTTTTTAAAGGCACAAATTAAAAGGGCGTAAGAGTTGCAATGGATGAAAGTGAAACTATATTTAAAGAAATTAGTACAATAAATCCAAATTCTTCAAGATATAATTTGTAGACAATATTGATACACATTGATTGAGTGTCTTACCGGGACATGGTTCTGTGCTGCATGTTGTCATGTCTGTTGCACCAGCAGGTCCTCCTATACAGTCGGCTCCACCATACTGTGGGGGTATACACTGCCTGTGCCTCAACTTGGACCCCCCACCACAGCTGACATTACATGATCCCCACTCACCCCAGTCTGTCCAAACTCCATCAACTACAACACATCAATTTATGTGTATATATAAGATTATAAGATTTCTGGCTCTTGGATATATGGCAGAATTAGTCACAATAGATGCTTAAATGTTATTTTTGGCAAGATTGTATTCATCTGTTCATTCTTTATGAAAATCACTTGAAAGTACTAAAACACATATCAAAGCAAAAATTAAAGGGGCAACAAGGACTGTAGAGAGAAAATCCAATTTTTTTTTATTTGGCTTAACATCTTCTTGGACATTTTCTTAAAATGTATGGATAAACTATCAATTTTAGCATTAAGAAGTGTAAACTCACTTCAAAGCTTCTATAAAGGGAGTCCCACTTTAAGATCCACCACATTTCAAGAGGAATATCAGCTGAAATGATATTCATCCAGGGGGTTTCTTTGAAGATAATATAGTATATGTTAGTCTTGATGAAATATCCAAACTTAAATATATTTTGACACTGGTCGATGATTGTTGAATGGCCCCTCTACACTAATTGTTGCACCTTTAACTTGATTAGTTAAACTTCGAAGTATGTAAACATTTTTATATTTGTTCAAATTCAAATGTTTAACATACCAGGACAAAATTGTGTATTACAATCCTGTGTTTGGTTGAGAGGTTCCTGGCAGTCTAGACCCCCGTAGAATGGTCCTATACACTGTCTGTCTCTAGAGTGGTTACCACCCCCACATGTCACACTGCACTCTCCCCACACAGTCCATGTACTGTACACACCATCAACTAAAACACAACACTTACTCATATGCAAGGGCATTTATAGAAACCAATCTAAGGACATTCACTCTTGTGTAAGGGCATTTATAAACACAAATGTAAGGGCATTTATAAACACTTATGTGAGGGCATTCACAAATACCTATGTAAGGCCATTTATAAACATCTACTGGTATAAACATGCCCAACTATTTAACAACAATGTCCCTATCATATCAGATATGCTACATTTCTTGCAAATATAGATCAAGCTTGAGATGAGTGACAATCACTACTTCTAATGGGGCTTACCTGGACAATGGTGTGTGTTACAGGGCTGCTGTTCTATAGGAGCTCCACTACAATTCAGACCACCATAGTATGGCCCTGTACAGTCTCTAGTCCTGTAGTGGTCCCCACCTCCACAACTAACATCGCATTCTCCCCAAGTGCTCCATGTGCTGTACACTCCATCAACTACAATATAGAAAAAGCCATTAAGCAACATGCTTGATGGCAAGACATTGAGACTTGTTTTTGATAACAATCAATTTTTTCTTTTTCTGGTGTATTTCTTTCTAAGTTGTTGCTATACACCCTTTCCCCAATTAGTTTATAAACTGGCATAAAACAAGTGGTTAGAGTAACCCAATAATATAATATTGCGAAAATAATTTGTTACAAATGTAAACAATTACAACATAATAATCACATATAATCTACTGTGTCTGGAATACGTACCTGGGCAGAAGTGTGTATTACAGTCCTGCCTCTCCTCTCTTGGACCCAAACAGTCTGCCCCTCCATAAAAGGGTCCCACACACACCCTAGTCCTCAACTGGGTGCCCCCTCCACATGTTACATTACACTGGTTCCACTCTGTCCAATTACTGAATACTCCATCCACTGTAAGAAATAATTCTCATTAGATTTGACTTATACACACTTTAATGAGTCCTAACCCATTTGCATTTAAAAAATTATCCAAAAGCATGAAAACATTCTTATCATATTATTCAATGGATCACATTAAGAAAAAATCATTTTTGCAATGATAACTCTAACTTCAGCATTTTCAATCTTCCAAATATTTATTCTTATATCATTAAATTCAACAAAAGTAAAGCCTATAATGCATACCTGGGCAGTTATGTTCATTGCAAGTCCTGCTCTCCTTGCTAGGTGCCCCACATTCAGCTCCACCATAGAAGGGGCCAATACATTCACGAGTTCTTTCCTGGTTACCTCCCCCGCATGTCACATCACACATCGTCCAGTTGGACCAAGACTCATACACTCCATCAACTATGAAGTTTAATAGTGTATTAAAGGCTCTATTAACTTTTTGCAATTTGATTTAAGCAACATCTACAAAGCTTGATGCATTATGTTTTTGTGTTTCTAACAGGCAAATTGCTTGCTATATCACCATTATAAAGTGCAAGTGTCCAGGGATAAGAGGGTAAGGAACAATTTTTGGATTAATGCACATGTTTTCAATGAATTCACCAGCTTTCTAAATTTTCTGAATTGATTTTCATTTCTATAATACAGTACAGTATAATACAGGTGTAACAATAAACCTGGAAATCAACCCCACCACCCTATTCCTAGACAGCAGTTACCTAGAAGCTGATACAATGCAAAATCTACAGAAGCATGTGAAATGGCCAAGCGTCGCTGATACAAATTTTTCTATAATGCTATGTGATTAGAAAGTATGATGAAAGATGGGGATGAATTTACCAGGGCAGTGGTGAGAATTACAAACACGTTGTTCTGACGCTGTAGCTGGACATTCTATACCCCCATAGAATGGACCTGAGCACACTCTAGTTCGGTTCTGTGTGCCTCCACCACAAGATGTAGTGCATGAGTCCCATACACTCCATTCTTCCCACATTCCATCAACTAAAATGCAAACAAAAGATAAATGTAAAAAATCTCTCCACTTAAACCATACAATTTATACATTTATATAAATATGTGTGTTATTTCTTTCGACATGATTTATCAAAATTAGGTATTATAGTTTGAATATAAAATATAAGAAATTCAGGGACCTCTGACAGACATTCCCACATTTGTCTTAGGTACATACTTGGACAGAAGTGAATGTTGCAGTCTTGGTACTGTCTTGCAAGTCCACTACATTCCTCTCCCCCATGTTGGGCATCCTGGCAGTCTCTCACCCTCAATTGTCTGCCACCACCACACGTAACATTGCAGGGGAACCAATCTGACCACTCCTTCCAAGAGCCATCAACTGAATAGAAAAGTGAATATAACTTTGATGAGTTACTGCATTATAAAATGTTAAATATTATATCCGCCCATAAAACTCAATGGTAAAAGCAGTCTTTCTATGATGCAATGGCACTGGACACATTTGCCAATTTGGGCATGGCCAATTTCCTTGTGTAGCAATACAAGTGGTCAACATCCCCAACTTGTACAAAATGATGTGGGGTGTTCATATATGTCTGTATTGACCCTATGCATCAGTATGACGTCATGCCTTTGTCCGGCCAGAAAATATTGCTGGCCGTCTAGAAAACGTCATAAGCAACCAGTGCTCAAAATGGCGACGAAGTGATGAGAAAAAGTTAAAAGAGTATGCCTAAATGCTGCGTTGCCAAGCGCGTATCTACGTTGAGGCAAATGAGGCAGCTGCCTCGTCGCTTTTTTCAGCCTTTGAAAAATAATGTTCGGATATAAAACCATTAAAATGAGCACCTTTTTCTTGACAACATACCAATTAAAATAAAAGCTTATGTTCTGTTGATTTTATCTAAATATAATTTCATGTACGCTAAAGTAGCCTTCTCTCAAGACACTTGCGTGCGATTTTATACCGTTCGCATATCACCTAGCCTTCGTTTTTGAACCAAATTATAACGGCGCCATTTTCAGATTTTTGATTGATATTATGATACAAGACTCACTGTGGCAAGAAGATCAGGTACCTTATTCAGTGGCGTAGGAACAATGTACGCCAAATCGCCAGTGCGTAGTGTTGAAAAGTGAAAATAAAAAAGGCTTATTAATTTTACTATGTTCTTCAGTGATATTTTCTCATTGTGCATAAGTCTATCTCGAGCACACTAGCCTAAAAAATGTTTTTTGAATACCATAGGCCTATATATATTATGCAAGGTTTTTGTTCCTCTGTTATTTTTCTAATCGTGGCACAGATAAATGACACTTTTTGAGAAATGAAATTCATATAATATTGAATTAGTTTTAAAATATTGAAAGTTGCCTTGTTTCTAATACTGCAGAAAATGCAAAGTAATCATTATTGCTCTGTTTGATAAGTAATCTTTGAACAGATTGAATTCTGACCAACATGCTTTATTTAAAAAAAATCAAGACACTATTGACTATTTTATGAATCTTAAAAGTAAACTACAATTTCGCAAAATATTCGTGAATTGCGTTCTCTTATACGAGTTTGAGAGAGGAAAGTTTTTTTTCTACCTGATGACATGGATGACTGCCTTTGCATTTTTGTGCATGTTCCGTAATGCTTGGACAATATTTATCTATTTTCTTACTTATTGTCATTGATATTACTTCTTGAAATATGAATGTTAAAGACAAAAACAACTTGAAATTGTTGATTATTCAATTTCGCATTCCATTGAATTCAATGAGTTTTGGCGATAAATCCTATCCTTGAAAGTACATAAAGTACAACTTCAGCTTTTTTGGAGGGGGCGTTATTTTGTCTTGCGATCTAGTGTTATAAAAAGGTTGCAGACATTTAGGAATTGTATAATTGATCACTAATATGTTTCTTTAAATCGATTGATATACTAGTTTCTCTAATCTGTTTTGTCGGGTTGCAATATCTAAATTCAACTATTCAGAAATGGTTAAAATCTCTCAATGTTCAGGGGCGTAGCCAGCTTTCTATCAGGGGGTTGCGATCGCAAAACAATTTCGGTTTTCAGTCAGGAGGATTGCGATTGTGGCACTAACAAGCCAAAAATAAGATTTATTTGAATTTTACAAAAATTGATGCAACTTCCCTCAAAATTGAGCTAGAAGCTTCAAATAAAAGCTCCTTTCTTCTTCTTTCTCATGGTTTTATTTTTATTGGTTATGGGGGATGCGCATCAATCGCACCTCCCCCCTGGCTACGCCTATGTTATCTGGAAAGTCGTCTATATCGTTCGAAAAAATAACATTTAAGAAAAGTGAGAATGAGTTGTGTCAAGATTTAAAAGATCGACTTTCCATGGTGATTTTATATTATGAAAACATTCAAACATTTTAAGCACATTATATTAGCCTAAGGTATTGCCATAGAATGACGTTTTACGAGCATAAATAGGCGTTTTGATATAGAAGATTAGACGCAATATGTTTCATATTTTGGCGTAGTGTTGAATTTAAACCTTCCTACGCCCCTGTTATTATTTAGGGTATTTCTTTTCTACTATCACCCAGATATAACGACCTAGGAAGGTCTATCAACACTAACCTACTCAAGGATATATTATTATTCGAAATTCAATTTTACGCTGGTAAAAAAGTCATTTTTATAACTTCCAGCGTAAAGTGTAAAACTTAAAAGTAATCAATGTGCACTGGGCTGAAACGCCAATCTTTGAAATTCATTTTTTATTATTTTTTATCTTTCTATTGAAAGTATAATATTTTATGTCTCAAACGTACTCAGACAACCAATTTTACTTTGGTCAAACAATACTCCAAATTACACAAGTAATATAGTCTGATAAGATATATGAATAAGTATATTGTATGGGCAGTGTATTTAATAAAAACGCTGTTAAGTATATTGCACGATGATAATTAATGTTTGTTTGCGATATGAAATCTATAAAAGATTCAGTTTAAACGATAGATTTTTCCTTGGGAGGAAAAGCAAGTATATTCTTGTCTGATACGACCAATGAATATGAAAAACTGACTTTTATCTGTATTTAATTGATTGCTATAATTTATGCCACCAGAGTGATATCGTGTTACTTGCATTACCTATACAGTGCGTCCCAAAAACGCAACAAAGAAAAACATTGCAAAATCACAAAACCAGTGATGATTACATCAATTTCATTTAGTAAACATATGGAAAAAAGCGGCATAAACACAGTCGTTGCCTGTTTTCTTATGAAAGATTAATCATGAAAGATTACATTCCATTTCCCAATCCCATGACCACTATTTCTCTACACACTACCACTATTTCTCTACACACATAGCGGACTGGCCTGCGTGTCCATGTCGAACACCTCTTTGAATCATCTGAGGTTCTGGCGGAGAGTAGCAACCTCATTGGTGACTCTTTGTTAACTGTTGCAATGTCTAAAACTTGGTCCAGAGCAGATTTTGGCACGTTGTGCAAAATGAATGATTATTCAGTGGTCCGTGGTCTTATATGAATAATTGACATACCATTGGAAAGAGGAGGCATGTGGCTTCCTGGTAAACTAAATCAAATTGATGTTATCATCACTGATTTCCTAGTAGAAGAAACAGTTGTTGTTTTGCTTTCCGTCATATTTGATTTTTTGATTTTCCCGGGCTTTTCTAGACGGCCAGCTGAACTGAGCTGGAAAAATGTGTATTTGTGACGTCACTCGTGCATAGGGTCAATACCAGTATATATCTATCTGTACATCAACACAGGGTTGATTTTTTTTTTATTTTTATTTATTTATTTATAAAAAATAGATGTACATGGGGTAATATAGTAAATACAAGAGAGCATATTCAAGTGCTAATCACCATTTTGGCATTATAAGCACTCTAGCCAAGCGGGGAAAAAGATGAAGAGGGGTGGAAGGGGGGGGGGGGTCTGAGCTGGGCTGGGTTTGGGGGAAATACAGGGCAGAGGGACAATGTAATTTATATTTGCAAGACAAGGCAGGGTACAATAGGTTCTAAGATAGTCTTCTTCAGTCTTGTTCAATATGGGGTAAGCCATCTCTTAATAAAGGCAGAAGTCAGAGTAAAGATTTTTGTGTTTTCATCCTAATATTGCTAAAATTATGATTGCTAAAGGCTAGGTATTCTAAAAGTGTGGATTGGTTAGTGGGGATCAAAGGAGTTTCAGTATAGAGAGTATTGAAAAAGATGGTTCTTGCATTTTCATTCAGAGGGCAGTGAAAAAAGAAGTGTTTTGGAGTTTCGGGTAGACCACAAGAACAATTAGGAGAGCTGATGAAGGTGTAATTGTGGGCAAAGAGTTGAGCCCTGAAGAGCAGGTCTACCCTAAACCTATTAATAAGTGTTTCTTCATTTCTAGAAATATTTAGCATTGAGGTAGGGATTATGTTTATGTCAAGGTTGAGAAGGTGCTTGCGATTGTTGTTCTTAAAGGCAATGAGGGTTTTACTTGTTTGAATATTCTTTGGTACAGATAGCCAATGGGAGATTGCATTTGGTATGCAGGAGTTCAGGTATTTAGTAGTGGCAGGGTTGATTCAAGGAGGGGTCAAGAAGTTTGTCTCATAGATGTATACATTAGAAAAAATACTATTGATTCTTTTTTCAATTTAATATTTTCTCCATGAAGACCAGCTAGCCTAGCCTAATACATATACTTTATTGAATAAAAAAATTTACTTGTTTAGACTATAGCATTCAGATATTTAATAATATGTATTCGGCTAATTATAGAATTGCAATATAATAGAACAATATCATGAAATTATAATTCCCAAAGGTCAAGCTAGGAAAGTTCAAATAACATAGTGATGCATGACCAACGTAAAATATCAATTATTCATTGGATAATTCTTGTAATTATCTAACTTTAGAACATGACGCGACCCTATAGACTAATTGAGTCTTAAATATTAGATGCAATTAGCAAAAACATTGAAACCTGATTAATTATTTAAATCTTTGATTGTAAAATTGGAATGCTTTAATACACAAGTTTATTTCCAGGTTTGACCATTCATGATTTTCACTGCCTGTAAATCCTATAACATCGATTCATAATCACTAAAAGTTTTTCTCAAAATCATTTTAACCAAAAATGTGTTTAAGCAATTAATAATACTGAGATAACAGTTCAATAATTATGACGCATTAATTCAAAACAAATTTTTCCAAAATAACACATTTTCCTTAAAATGAGGACACATTACAGAATTGACTTCTAAAATTCAAGTAAATTAACTTACCTGGGCAATCATATGTGTTACAATACTGAGTCTCCAAGGCAAGGCCAGTACAGTTCGCTCCACCATAGAAAGGACCTTCACATACCCTGGTGCGTTCTTGTTGCCCAGAGGCACATGTCAGACTACATAGACTCCAACCTGTCCATGACAGCCATACCCCATCAACTAGACAGTAAGAAGAAAAATATTATGTACAGTGCACAATATCACATTTTCTCTTTACTTTATTTGTTTGACTGTACATATTCTAAGAAAATATGAACCTATTGCGATCACTGAATTGTAGCTGAGATAAAAGAATTCACATTTTCTTTGAATATATCAAACCCCAAAAATGCAAAAAAAGCTTTAATAAGTAGTATTAAACTATTTTCAGGCAAATAACTACTTGAAGAGTCTAAAACAAAGCCTGATGTGAATATGGTAAAGTAAAATAAATATGCAAAGTAACTGAATACAGTGAAACCTGTATCTGAAACACCTCTGTAACCATTACACCTCCAAATTTACCATAGACTTCCAACTTAAAATACCTCAAAATACGAACACTTGAAAAACCGAATACTTTTGGCTTGCCCAGTGGCATTCAGATTAGACAGGTTTTACTATGCTACAGATTTACATAAGACTTAAACTGTGTTGGAATATTGTAAGCATGTTGAGGGAGGCACCTGGGCAGTAGTGTTTATTGCAAGCTTGTGTCTCATTGCTGGGGCCAGGACACTCAGCCCCCCCATAGTAAGGTCCCTGGCACTCTCTGACTCTGGTCTGAAAGCCCCCGGCACATGTGACACTACACATATCCCAATCTGACCACTCTCCCCATACTCCATCAACTACAATTAAATGTTTACATTTGCTGTGTGAAAGATAAAAAGCAGTTGGTAACTTTTGGAAATAACCAACTAAAAATGCATGAAAAAGCTGAGTAAAACTATTAAATGCTGTATTTTGCACAATACAAAAGTATAGTTACTTTCCTTTCTTTTTAGAGGCTTAAGAATAAAAAGCAACAAAAAAGCTACTATGGCCAATATACCATCTACTCAACAAACACAATGTGGCATAGACCTATACAATTAAGCAACGATATATTTCATTTTGTGTTAGTATTGTGCAACAAACCTGGGCAGAAGTGTGTATTGCACTCTTGTTTCTCTATATCAGGGCCAATGCAGTCAGCACCCCCATAGAAAGGCCCCACACAGGTGCGACTACGTCCTCTCATGCCCCCAGCACATGTCACATTACATAAGCTCCAAGATGACCATTCCTCATATACACCATCAACTAAAAATGCAAGGTACCTAACATTCAACAATTTAGCTAAAGTGTAAGTTGCTATCCAGGGATGTAGCAAATGCATTCCTTAAAAATTACCCCTTGAGGAAATTTTCTGGACATTTTGAGTTCTTACAAAAGGGAAAATCATAATTTATGGAGAATTGTATCTAAAAGCAAGTCAAGGCAGTTGATTAAAATGTAGCTCATTTCAGTTTTTATTAAAAGGTGTGCAAGTGCACGAGGGGAAAGAGTACCCGTGTATATACAACCTACCGCCGAGCAAAGACCCGAAGATGTCTGAAAATGTAGGGGGTGAGTTATAACCTTTTGTTTATATCTTGAATTTCTCAATATGAGAAACAGATAAAACACAGAATTGTGTGTAACTGATAAAGTTATTGTTCCAGGCACTCATGTTTGCAAAATAATGAGTACTTAGCGCAATGTTTACTATCCAATCGCTAAATTCAACTTTTAAATATTTGAATGATGATTTACATCTTGAATAAGTAACAACCATGGCTGTCTTTACTTCATTCGATTCAAAGATACAATAGGTGTAAACGTATCATATTTATTTCACTGCCATACGTTGCATATCATTGAAATCACCGGTGAAAGTTGAAAATGAAAGACCCGATTATGTCACGAGTACGATTATATAGGACCCGAAGCTACCACCGAGCTATTCCGACTATACCATGAGTAGAACCCGATGAGGTAGTGAGTAAGCTTTCGAATGAGCATATAATATCATGACGATATCACAAATATTCCTTTTTATTTATCATATACTCCTGGCACCGGGATATAATATAATATGATATAATTCCCGCAGCACTATACGTCAACGTCTGTTTCCGGCAAAGTTCTTTAAAACATTGAATTCATGCTTACACTTGAATCACCATAATTTCCTATGTGTCTATGGTAAGAGTGCAACCCAAAAACATTTAATTCTGCATTGCAAGCGCCATTCTACTCAAAGAACACAACTTGAAGAATCCCAAGCTTCACAAGCTTCATATCCTCGAAACGAAAATTACCGTGATCTTTCTTTGATAATACAATACCATAGTCAAAAACATTGTAAATCCATTTTTGCCATTTAATTCAGGCACATTAACTTTAATACTCAGTAATGGATGGTGCTGACTGAAGTGGACCACAAAGTCATCCATCTCGTGTGCTTTATAACTACAGTGGAAGCATTTGTACCGAGGACCTGAAATACAATGTTTCGATGTGCAGTGGTAACTGGTGATAGCCGTATTTTTTTCAGTTTCATTTATTGTTCACAACAAAATGATTCACAAATGATGCAGATTGTATGTTTATTATTTTTTCATCAGCATGTCATAAACTCGACGATATAATCGGATCTCAACAGATTTTACTCAAGTAATGTTCGGATTCTGAGATCCTTTACTCAAGATATTTTCGGATCTTTATAATATTACTCGTCGATCACATCGGGTCCGATGTCCGATAACCTCGGATCTTTTAGGACAAAGTTTAAGTGAAGATTTTGCTGTTCAAAAGTGCTATTTTGACCTAATATTTTGACACTTAATATATTATGCATATGTACATCCATTTACCGACCCAAGTATGTCTTATGTATGGCTCATTATCAATTAAAGCGAGTATGAATTAGAAAAACAAATCGAAAACCATTATACGTTTACCTTATCTCTTAATTTGGACATAAAAATATATTTCAACTATAATTCTAGGCCAATTGCGCCTGCTAGAACATCTTAGTAACAACTCTAACCATCCAAAGGAATTGTTAGTGACATTATATTACCTTTATTGTCCATTTTCCTACGAGATGACATTATCAAACATTTGCTCGGCGGTATGTGCGTGTCTTGCTCGGCGGTAGGTTGTATATACACGGGTACTCTTTCCCCTCGTGAAGTGTGTAAGTTTTTCTTCCACCATTATCTCCATTATCTTGTACAAACATAAATCTTTTGCTTGTAGCAAACAAAGGATGAGTCTGGGAATGAGTCTGGGTATCGACTTAGAAAATATTGAAAATTGTAATGTCTGAAAAACCAACTCAATCACACATATTATTAAACTTCAATATCTTATCCTTCTTCTGAGAGTACAAAAATATCAATTTGTATCACAATTAATGAAGAATATTGGCATCAAAGACAGTGCATATCGTTTTGTCAGAATTGAAAAAAAAATCAATGGCAAATATTAAATGAATTATTTATACAAAAGGTTTGAAATAAATCCCCCAAATCATTGCTTACTTTCTTTGTATAGACATTGAATGGTATTTCTGGATTAGTGAATTGGTATTTATCTGGGTAATCAAGGGATTATAGTCACTCAAAGTTACTGAGCATCCAGTTTTGAGACTTCAATTGTGTTGGTGAAGTTACACATATTTCAGTCAAATTCATGCTGAGCACAACATTTTGGTTTCAATTTTATAATCTCTATACATGACCCTGGTGATGAAGAGTCAGAATCAGTCAAAAAACCTAAACCGGAAAACTGTGCTCATTGTGAAAACTAAAAGTGAAGCAACTTTTTTTCTGATATTTTTTACATCAAATGGCAGCCATTTTGTTTTTCCCCCTTCAAATTAAACTGGCGGGAAATTCAAAAATTTAAAAAAAAATTTAATCCTTAAATATATTTCAAAAATATGATTTTCTTTTAAATTCTTCATGGGTCTTAAGTTATTTCTTCTTTGTAAGTCAAACATGTTGCCATTGATGTTTTTTTCCATGATAATGACTATTTATTTTTTGTTAATATACTTATTCTGACTCTCAGCAGGGGGTTAATTATGCATCAAAACTCTTGAAAAAGTAAATATACTTATCAAATATAACTAGGACAGTAATAAAAAACATATTTCACATACATTTGACTGAGGGACCAAAAGGGCATATACCCGGACACATCCTTTACTGCCAACTTTCTTCTTACAAACCTGTTTACTTGTGGCTTATAATGCAGTTCTGCAATGCCGCCGTTATATGTTTGTAATATATGGAAATAAATCATCAATAAAAAAAATATTAAAGATCTAATAGCAAAGGTTTTGCAAAAATGAATCAATGTAGTATAAAACAAATGTATGTATAATGAAGACATGTTGATCACCTGGGCAAAAGTGTGTATTGCAGTCCCTATATTCCAAATCTGGACCCTGACAGTCATCACCTTCAAAGTAAGGCCCATCACAGGTGCGATAACGAGATTGTTGCCCACCTGCACAGGTAACATTACAGGTATTCCATTCTGACCAGGTAGAGTAAACACCATCAACTGGAACAAAAAACAAGGCACAGACGTGAACAATATCATACCTAAAACACAGCATTGTGGTCTTGTTGACCAAGAAAGCAAGATGGCCGCAGAAAAGTTAATCAGCTCTAGAACTTATCACTGTGTAAATATGTAAAAATTTGAACGGTTTGGCTGAAAACCTGTAGACAAGTCTTGAAAGTGAAGATTTTAGGACGGAAAATCCAAAATGGCCACCTTAAAATTTAACCAGAATGCCCAAAAACTAATCAGTTCTTGACGTTGATATGTAGAAACATCCCTGAAAATTTCAGATGAATCCCTCAAAAGGTTTGGCTGGAAACCTGTAGACAAGTCTTGAAAGTAAAGATTTTAGGATGGAAAATCCAAAATGGCCACCTTAAAATTTACCCAGAATGCTCAAAAACTAATCAGTTCTTGACGTTGATATGTAGAAACATCCCTGAAAATTTCAGATGAATCCCTCAAATGGTTTGGCTGGAAACCTGTAGACAAGTCTTGAAAGTGAAGATTTTAGGATGGAAAATCCAAAATGGCCACCTTAAGATTTACCCAGAATGCCCAAAAACTAATCACTTCTTGACGTTGATATGTAGAAACATCCCTGAAAATTTCAGATGAATCCCTCAAATGGTTTGGCTGGAAACCTGTAGACAAGTCTTGAAAGTAAAGATTTTAGGACGGAAAATCCAAAATGGCCACCTTAAGATTTACCCAGAATGCCCAAAAACTAATCGGTTCTTGACGTTGATATGTAGAAACATCCCTGAAAATTTCAGATGAATCCCTCAAATGGTTTAGCTGGAAACCTGTAGACAAGCTGAAAAGTGAGACGCCGCCCGCCCGCCGCCCGCCCGCCGCCCGCCCGTCAAGCTGACTACAATATCGTACCTTTTGTTAGGTACGATAAAAAGGGTCATAATAAGATAATGGGTTTTACCATTTCCATACTTATTTATCCAGATACAGTGTACAGGGCTAGGGTGTATGTGTTTTTATAATATTGAGACAGAATTGAATGATGGATCAGTGTTCGCATAATATATCATGTAATGTTCCCATGCAGGTTGAATTTACTGTTGTACACCTGCACTCTTTATGAACTAGAGGGAGAAGAGTTTTGCTGGTTTTCATTAATTTTCAATAAAAAGCTTTTCAAAATCAATCAATAATCAATTAAATCTTTAGGCCTGGGTGGGGTAAATCTGAAAAATAATTAATTATGATTTGGGCCCTCAACAAAATATACACGCTTCCAAGAACAAGTAAGAATGCTACGTGTATTTATTGGTGTTTCCTACCTGGGCAGTTGTGTGTATTGCAATCTTGTGTTTCTTTCTCTGGTCCTTCACACTCAGCTCCCCCATAGAAGGGTCCAGTACATGACCTGTACCTGCTCTGCGATCCACCTCCACATGTTAGACTGCAGGTGTCCCACTCACTCCATGCTGCATATACGCCATCAACTACAAGGAACAGTTGATATTTTGAAATGAGAAAAACATTGATGGGTATTAAACTATTTATGAAAATGGTTCCTTATTAGACTTAAAACTTAACTCCTGTCAAAAAATCTTCTTGGCAATATAAATGTAAATAGAGCTTCAATTCTAGTCTACACGCATGGCATTCAAAAATAAATTTTTCCTGTACCTGGACAATGCTGAGTATTACAGTCCCTACTGTCATTACTAGGACCCTCACATGATTTGCCACCATAGAATGGTCCTAGGCATGATCTGTCCCTCCACTGTACACCACCACCACAGGACAGATCACAACTACCCCAAGATGACCATGGCTCCCATACTCCATCAACTACAATCGAAATACACTCATATGATAACTTGAATCTTTTGAGAACGATGCATGTTGGTGGTACCTCATTTTATATTTTATATATCAACCCTGATTGCTTTGTAAATGGCCAATACAATGCATTGCTTGAAAATAATTTATTTTAGTTAAATTCTAGTTGTTTTAGTATGCTAGTCTCACCATATATTTTCAAGCTAAACATTCACAGACCTCTCTGTCAGATGACTGTAAAAAAGATACCCTGCCCTGTAAACACCAATCTGTGGTCTTTATTAAACACTAGTACATAGGTGGGATACAATCTCTACAATCAATCAAACAGAGAGATCAAGAATTTTTTTGTATATTGTGTGTTTTGTGTCCAACTTACTTGGACAGAAGAGTGTGTTACACGGCTCATAATCCATACTGCTCCCTGGGCATTCAGCTCCATTATAGAATGGTCCGTCACAGATACGGGATCTCGCACGGATTCCTCCACCACAGGTAACATTGCAATCAGCCCATGAAGCCCAGGTAGCCCATACACCGTCAACTTTATTTAGAGGTATTGGTGTAATAGGTTAGAACACACACAAGCAAGCTATGTTAGTCTTTCATGCATGAACAATGAGTCACTGGTTTTAGTATGCTACTAAACAACATTGAAAGCTTCACAGAGAAAGCGTTACTTTACAACATGCATGTCTAACATAGCCAAACACATATCAACAGTCTAGCATTTTAATTAATAAGCAGTGACAATATATTATAATTGAAGTTTATGCAATGTTATAATGTAAGAAATGACTTTAGACTTGGACAAAATTCTTGCGTCTGTATACATAGTGAGATACTAAAACTAATAGATGATCTAAGTTTATCATTGACTGATGTTATTCAACAATGATAATCTGACTGTCAACTGGGTTTGAAGTAGCTCAGTGCTATATTTCTTTTTTAATTACAAATATATGCTGTGACTTTATGTAAAAAATCGAGCATTTAGTTTGTGTATGAATTTTGCTGCTTTTACATTGCCTAAGCATAATACATAGAAGATATAAGAATATCATTGTTATATAAATTGCAATTATAAACAATGTAAATACAGGAACAATAATAATATATTTCATAACCATGCACATATATCAGATCATAATGCATCCAAGAAGTACTTGCGGGAGATTTTACCCAAACAGCACATTCGAACTGTACAATAATGACTGTGTACATATGTACAAACACATTAAGATCTCAATAAAGTTTGGTACATGTATTTAGCAGAACCATATCTCAGTTAGTCACTACAAATACACAATGATTAACTAACCTGGACAGGGAGGCAGAGAGCATGGCTTACTCTGGACAGCCTCACTCTGGCACACCTCACCCCCGTGCAGAGCAGGGGGATGGTCGCACACACGATGACGTAGACGTTCACCATCAGCACATGTCACGGAGCACTCACTCCAATCACCCCAAATGTTCCAGTCTCCATTCACTACACATATAGCCAGCATGATATATCACACATTTTCAATTTGAATTATATATTAAATGTATGCGGAATTTCAACTTATAAAAAATAAAGCATAATCTATTTTAAACTTATTTAGAACACGCTTGATGGTTATATTTACAAATATTTCGTTACCACTCCATCCTAACAGCAAAAACTATAACACATTTAGCTGCCATACATTTATGAACTGAAATGAGTCTTACCAATGCATCTAACAGCAGCTGCCCCAGTCTGGCATTTGGTGAAGACATCCCAACCACTGTGTCTACATTCCTGTATAGAGACCTCATCCCCATTACATGCCACCTCACCAAACACAAATGGCATATTACCCTCTACACTGTACACTGGAAAAAATAACATTATCTACAGACCTATTATTTGCTCTGTTTGACTGAGGTGATACCTTGCTCTCATATAGCTGCATAAACATCAACTTTTGAACTGATACTTCAATATCTTTCCTTTTTCTTTCCTCTAAATCACCAGTTATTTGAATGGCATTTCATATGGCTGGCATCCAATATCATTGAAAATTAAGTATATAAACTTAAATTATGAAAAAAGAAATAATCATATAAGGTAGGAAAATCAGTATGATATCATGAAAAATGTAAATTGATTTTGTTTCCATGAGTGAGATAATCCTTTGATCTAGCCTTAACTAATCAGAATATTTATTTCACATCGAAACTATGACAGCTATACTTTATTTGGGTTATTTCAATCTCATCAGCATTATGACTGTCTCCAATTCTATATATGGCTCTGATACTAGCCTTGCCCAAGTCGGTCTCTTTTACTTATCTTGATTTCAAGATCAGATAAGTAAAAAATACCTACTTGGGCAAGGCTACTTTGACACTTGAAGTTGGAACTTTTAAGGCTTCAGTTGAAATAACCTGATGGGTAAATACTGTACCTTCTGCTGCTCCGACAAGCCCTCTCTGCTTACAGACAATATCAGCATCCTGGATGTCCCAAGAGCTGTCAGCACATATATGGGTCCATGTGTGTTGCAGAGTGTCATACAATCTCACTATACCTTCCCCATACTGTGCCCCATCAGCTAGTACCACTGCACCTATAAGATGATTCGCAAATATATGAGTACATGATTCAAATTGAATTCAATAATATTTCAAGTGGGTGTTTTCTTGTATGTTCTGTAGTATTTTTTCAAAAAATGCTTTTCTCATTCTTCAATCAACACATGGACACATAAGAGGTTAAATTGTTTGTGGTATAAACCCCGTTTATTCCTTATTTCACCACCAATCAATATGTTGGCATTTTACACTGGTCAACCGAACACCTTCAAAAACATTCACAGCTCATCTTACCATCACAGGCAGATACATGACATGGTGAAGTCTCCTCATTAGGTCCCATACAGAGCCTATCTACTCCTATGGTGCCTCCATACATACAAGCCCTAGAGCGGGACTTCAGGCCCCTTCCACATGTTGTATGACTGGAACACTCATCCCAGGCAGACCAGGGCTCCCAGTCTAAATGAAAAATTATAATATTCTGTTTACTAGTATAGTAATCTACATTTATATTGATGAAAGTACCTGCCCCAGGGTGGGTGAAAAAACAAAGTGTTTTGGGCAGACATTTTTTTCTTGTCTCTTATTCGCCAATGACATGCTAATACAAATGAACTCCATCCTACTTGTAATTTGCTAATAAATAAAATACTGAAAATCTCTATTAGATTTATATCCAGCTATTGCATACATACATGGACATTTGGATAGTGTACAGACTTGGTACTCCACATCTGCCCCATAACAGTCTAGAGGAGATCTTCCCTCCCCAGTCTCTGCATCAACACACCCCCTGCTTCTTTGTTGATAGCCAGTTTCACATGTCACTGAGCATGATGTCCAGTCACTCCACTCCTCCCACACAGGCTTAGGAGCTAAAAACAGCACAGTAATTTCACAATTGATAGCTTGTGGTTCATCGGGATAATAATCGGCCAACAGTTCATGTTCTCATACAGTGATATCTTTAGCTTTAGAATACTCTGATATATACAAAATGTGACTTTGTGATGTCAAAATTGCCTACTTCCAGGGTAGAGATTAAAAGGTGGATTGGATCGAGTGGATTGGATTCATGTAAAAGGTGGATTGGATTGGGAATCTTCAAAATATGGATTTTTTAGTTGATCTCCCTCTAAGCAATTTCTTCCGGCCTGAAGTATTTTGTGATTACTTGGGTCCCTTTAAGGAATTGACAAAGCAATGACAAATACATACTTCAATTAGTTGATAGATACCCTAAAGCATTTAACTGCTCTCCCTTGTAAATCAACATTAGTAAGACATAATAAACATAGATCGGTAGATAAAAGCTGTCATTCAAATTGACGTGTGGGTGTTCCCAAGACATTATGCCATGTTCTGTTTGAATTTAAAACAGATGATATGGATCTTCGACTTGAAAAGTCTGCCTTATGATTTGTGAAATGTCTAAAATTACCCTTGGAATGAATAAGATTGTGTATCAGGTCACCTTTCTAGTCTACCCAAGCAAAATGATATAACATCTATTATTTGACATTGTGGAAGTGAGAAAAGCATTAATCGTCTGAATATAATTTTTTAAGGAAAATCCATATTTTGAAGAATCCCGATCCAATCCACATTTTACATGAATCCAATCCACTCGATCTCATCCACCTTTTAATCTTTACCACTTCCAGAAATATGGAGGGTCACAGGTCAATAAAATGGATATGCACACAACCTTATACAAATAATTTACAGACAGACATCTCCTGGATCCCAAAGACAATCTAAAATCTATGAAACACTCCAGACAATTTTTTTTTGACTGGTCAACATTTTGACCAGACAATTTGAAAACACGCTGGACAATTGTACTCGGTCAATGTCTTAAAAATAAAAAATATATACATAGAAACAGAGGGGTGGGGGGGGGGGGGGTATAAAATGATTGAAATTGTTAACCATTGAATTTTATATTTTGCATTGTTTCATTTGTCGACAACTTCTTCAGGCCAATTTATATTCTTTCATTTGATGTGTAAAACAAAATTCATTGTCTCATGTCTCAGCAATATCTATCTGGACAATTTTGACCACACAGTTTCTTTTCAGACTCGACATTTGTCCGTTGTCAGGTGCATATTTCCCACACTGTAATTCATATGTACCTTCAATTTCACAAGTTTCTCCAATGAATCCTTCACCACAGATACATATGAAAGAGCGGCTATTATTCATGCCATTTGTGTCAATGCAGTAGGCATCATTAGAACAAGGAGCACTAGCGCAGATTCCCAGGGCTTCCTAAAATCAGTTTGACAATACATTACATATTATCAACTGTGCAGCATGTGCATCTGTGTTTCTTACTTTGCTATTATCTACAGTATATTGGTATTGTTAAGAAGGTGATAATTCAATTTGGCAAATTAACATTTGGTAAACAAACACATTTGGTACTTCTAAAAAGAATTCCACTTGGGAGGTGTTCCACCTAAAGAGGTTAATTTATCATTAAGTCAATTGGTCTTAGGACTCTACTTGAAGAGGTATTCCACTAACAGAGGTGTTCATCTTCCAGGTTTCGCTGTATATAGAATATCAAGAGCATAATGCATTATTATGGAATATACCAGTTCTTTTTTACTTTGATTCTCTTAATACACTAAAAGCACTGCCAGCTTGATGAACCTGTTCGCTGAACAAAATTATATCTGGATATTTAATGTAAGATTTAATGGAAACAACTTAAAATAGCAAATTAAGTACAGTAGCTGAAATGAATGCCAGAGTTTTTCACTAATAGGTCCATGGGCACTTATTTGAAAGATGTGTGTATGAAAAAAAAGTTATTTTCCCCTCTGTTTAAATGGGCATTCTATTTGAGGGCCTCTAAACAAAAATGATTCATGAAAGGGATTCTTATTGATTGAAGTTGCTTAAAAACAATGTATGTATGGTTAAAATAATTTGAAATGAAGTTGCAAATATATGACAAAAGGACATAAAACAACTTTACCCTCTTAATAAAAGCCTATGGGCAACATTTTGATTTTGATCTCTTTAAAGAAACGCCCTTGCGAATTAAACCCCCAGTGGTCTTTTAGCAAAAAATCTGGTAAGTACTAATTCTTACATAATGCAAAGTTCAACATGGAATGCATATGCAACAAATTTCAATAAACGTAATAATATAGAATTTTCTTTTCAATTCAGAACCATTGTTCAAAATTACATACCACATCAATAGTGAGATAATCCTTAGGGTAATGTATAAAGGTCTCCGTGATTTCAAACAAGTCAGCTTCACCAGGCAGATTTAACTCACACAAGTTCTCTTGTGTGTTATAACTGTATGAGTGACATCTTGGCTCAGTGTGACACTGTCTGGCACATTGACTCAAAAGGTAACAAGTTGACTGTTTCAGAATCACTGATCCTGTATAATGTCCAGTACTCGGTTCTGTAGAATTCTCATTCACATCCCATTTATACTCCAACGTCAAATCCCGATTCCCTGCTACTATGCTCAACCCATAAAACAATATTAAACATATCTTCGAATCCATTTTACAAATTTAAAATACTAAAGTAAATGACTATATTTCTCTTCATGTGAGGCAGGTGCCTCTTCTTACTAACCTCTGCAACTTTACCTGTCTGATTTTAATTAATATTCACCTGAATAATTGATTCTAATTGGCCCAGGTAAAGGTCCCACTTGAATAATTGCACATCACAGAAGTTGTTAGGTTGGTCACAAGGGCCTTACCAGAACAATAACACCAGGATACTAATGAGGTATTAATGAGTATGTTGTCCTTTTAACAACAATACCATAATGACTCAAAATTAGATTAAAAATAGGAGAAATATAAATATCATCACACATATAATAAAAATAATGATACATAGACCGTTTGGAAATTAGTTCTGAAGGATTTCAATCATTGATCATGTTCTGATTAATAATTTAAAAACCATCAGTCATGTTGCTGAGGCAAATATTTTGATAACTGGTCAATTCATTATAGGGCAAGATCAAAACATACCTTTTGGGACAAATATAAAAGTAAATGAAAAACAGGGGGTAGGCGAACCTTCATTAAAGCAAAAACAATGAAATTAATCCTGCATTGATATTTTGATCATTTAGAGTAAATGAACATTTGAAGAAGTTATCTCAGATCTAAAATTGTCAGCTGGTCAGAAAACAAAATTGATAAAAGTTAATTTCTACTGAACTTTACTTCAACTTGACTTTCAAAGGAACAATAGTTAGAGGGTTTAGTGGTCCTTGTGTTGTTTTAAGGGTTACAAAATATTGGATGTCTAAAAAAGTGAGCCACTTTTTGGCAAGTATTTCCTCAGCAATAGATATCAATCTTACGTTACACGACTCAAACTCCAACCATTAATTCCTTCAGGATTCATCTTTTTATCTTGAAACAGTTTTCAATTAATCAATAGTAGCCTCATCAGTTTCATTTACAGATGGCAGATATTATCATGATATTCCAGGCTACTTTATAGAAATTTGCAATGAATTTGACTACATTAATCTATTGCTGTAAACATTCTTGTCAAAAAACTATTTTGGGACACCCGATATTAAAGGACTTAAATCTTGAACTCAAATTATTTTTCAAGGAGTATATAAAATTTAAAACAAATTGGAAAACTTGTATTTCAAGACAACAACAGATGAACAAACTCTACGTCCTTGACTCAACTTTTACTTTCTTAAAGGGCCAATAACAGCTCTTCTTATAACACTAAAATATAAAACGACTTGACTAAGACATACTTATTCTTTCCAAAATAAAAGGGATATTCAGGATAAGAATTTCAGCTAAAAGCTGTTTAACAAACAAATTCAAGTCTATATATATGTATTGTAACAACAAACAATTTATTTACAAATGCAACTATTTCATAATTTCTATGACAATTAGTTGCAATAAATACACTATAATATAGAATGATAATCACTTCTTCATTATCCAATCAGTTAAAACTATTTCTATGGAAAAAATTGGCAGTGTTGATTAAAGGATCTGTCCGCGTACATAAAACAGAAAAAAACATTTTCTAACTTTGAAACTCTACAGTTAATGTCCTTATACTATATATGCATACATTAAGATATATTTTATAGTGTGGCCTTGCTGTATGCTGCTGAATCTGTGTCAGGGTTGTAGCCAAATCCTGGTATTCTTGGACGACTCTCTTTTGTAGCAACACTCGTTTCGGCACTTAAAAACACAAAAAGTAATAGGAATTATAGGTAAACAACAGTCAGATTGTGTCCAATTAGAAACAAATGTTCATCTAAATAACTATGTGCTATTGGATATAAATGCAATAAATAATGTTTAACTTTAGAAATAAGTCTTTCAATTTTCCGTGAACACCTGCATTTGGAAGTCACTAGATTACTGAGTTTAATACATTCAGAAGAGTGCATGTGTATCTTCATATGAATTTAACAGTAACAACGTTACTATAATTAATATTTTTAAAATTAAAAATATATAACAGCATATGCAACTCTCTAATCTAGGTTTTTCTTTGTCCCATTGTCATCACATATTATCTTGGTCCCATTGTCATCACATATTAAACAAGACATTAACATGACAATTCACCACCTAGTTGCTCACGATATTAAGAGTTCAATCTTAAGTCAAACTTGAATATCTGAGAACTTGTAGATGATTTTGAAAAAATGGTCAAATGTGAAGCAAGTTGAAGAAAGACCCTTTTTGACCCTGATAAGGTCATTGAAGGTGAAATCGATTTGAACTTCTGACAACTTGTAGATTATTTTGAAAACAAGGCACAGGGTGAACAATATAGTACCTAAAACCTGACAGTGTTGGCTAGGGTGTTTCACTTTTCAAGAATGTTCTCACATCATAACGGCCCTTTAACATGGGGTTACAAATGGTGCTGGTAGTTCACTGATTTTTTTCAACAAAATCGGATAACGTTAAAACTGGTCCATCAGGTTTTCCTGGAATCACCTTTTCCTGGCAAAGTATCATCTTCTTGTTTTTTAAAATGAATCAACAACAACATTTTAGATGAATTTGAGGCAAATCACTGAAGCGCCTATTTGGTAGACCATATCTTCATATGAATTTAACAGTTACAAATTTACTATAATTAATATTTTTAAAATTAAAAGTATATTACAGCATATGCAACTCTCTAATCTAAGTTTTTCTTTGTTCCATTGTCATCACATATTATCACATATTATCTTGGTCCCATTGTCATCACATATTAAACAAGACATTACATGACAATTTATAGGTGTGTGATACATTTCAAAATTGTCATTTTACATGTCATAATTTGTTGGTTTCATTCGTTTAGCCAATGAAAACATTGTAAAACAAAAAATTGTCTGTTACGTACAATCAATTTTGTTCAGTTTTGATTAGTTGTCAGAATAAAGTTACGTTCATCTGAATCCATGTATCAAAACAAAAATCCTATTTTCACTTCAAAATACTTCAGTGAGATGAAGGCTCGGAATTGTCACATGCAATAACTTATTGTCGTATTCGTTATTTTATCTTCTCGATAGTAGCATTTAGTCGTACATTTGATGCCAGGTCACCTTGTCGCGTACCTCTTGGGGAACCCCACATTTATGTGTGTACTCATGGAAGTAAATTCCCCGGTGTAGCCGAGAGCCATAAACTTTTCAACAGGTTCGAAATGACCAATTTCTCTCATATATACTCTAAATATTTTATTATTTAGCACCTACAAAGTATTGCTAATAACCATATGTAATTTCAATAAGGAAACTTATCTGGCTACATATAAATTCAATATCAACACTAGCTGTTCTCTCGACACGTCCTGGCTTACCTTGTGGTGACAAACCCTGGATTTTCGCTATTTATAGTTTATCAACACCTGGACGCATGCGCATTTTATAGTTTATCGGGCACTTTAAGTGGTTTTCCTGGAATCGCGATGACAAGATTAAACTAAAAACTTCCAAAAGTTAATCAGCTCTAGAAATTCTTACCATGTAATATGTGTGAAAATTTGAAGTAAATCTGTCGAGTGGTTTTCCTGGAATCGTGATGACAAGAAAGTGAGACGCCCCCTGCCACCCACCCGCCGCCCATCAAGGTGACGACAATATCGTACCTTTTTAGGTACGATGAAAAGTCAGTCTAAACAGTATTTGTTAGGTTACTGGAAGTTGTAAGAATTTGTAAAAGATGCCAACCACCAACCGCCACCACAAAAAATGGAGACCATTACAATATGTCACCACTTTTTGGTGGTGACATAAAAACCTTGAAATGTGGATACTTGTCATCCGAACACTTTTGACTGGTCCAAGAAGCGATCAGATAAGACAGGCTTTACTGTATAACACAAGAAAACAAATGTGTACAAAATGTCCCCACCTATGGGTGATCCCGTCAAATGGTTATCCTGAAAATGAGTAGACAAGACTTTACTGTTACAATTTTGGGACGGAAAATGCAACTTGGCCACCATAAAATTTACCCAGAATAACAAAAAATTAGTCAGCTCTAGATTTTCATACTAAGAACCACCCCTGAAATTTGAAATTGATCCGTCAAACAGTAAACCAGAAAACGCGTAAACAAGACTTTACAGACAAGATTTAGGACGGAAAAATCCAAAATGGCTGCTTTGACATTTGCCCAGAATGCCTAAAAACTAATCAGTTCTAGATTTTCATACTAAGAATCATCCCTGAAAATTCGAAATTGATCTACCAAACGGCTCACCTGAAAACGTGTAGACAAGACTTTACAGACAAGATTTTACAGGGTTCGTACACCTTTTTCAAAATGAATTTCCCTGACAATTCCCTGACATTTCCAGGCAAAAAAGAAAATTTCCAGATCTAATTTTCCTCGCACGGCCTCTAAAAAGTCTCAAACAACTGTTATTCGAGACAAAAAGACTTATTATGAAACATTTTGGGTTTCTCCTTCAGTACCATTTCTCATGACTTAACTTTACTTGTACAGGCCATCTGATTCACCAATTTAATCCTGATACATTATATTTTTAATATTACATATTTTACATTGCATAAGGCCAAAGGTAAACATACATGTATAGGGGTGAAGCCAGCAAGTGTCAAGAGGGTGTAATTTTTTTGGTTTGCATCACTGCGAGCAAAAGTATCCCAAAGGGGGGGGGGGGTACGGAGGTTCACTCCCGAAATTTTTTTTAAATTAACATTGTACAGGGTGTCCAAAAAAAAACAGGACCGTAAGAAAGTTGAATAACTCGGTCAATTTTGCATATTTTGCCTTGAATTTTCAGAATTCTTTAGTTCATTCAATGTGAATTTTGTTGTGAAAGTTTGATAATAATCTACCACTTGAGTCAAAAACCACAGCTCCTTACAAAACATGCCCCAAATGTGCAAAGCTCATCCCTATGCACAATTCAATCCGGCGACCAAAGCTATTGATGATCCTCCTACACACATGTCTTTCTGAATGGACAAGTTTGTTCCAAGAACAATTGCTACTGGGGCTTACATCCTCCTGATTAAGTGTTACGGCATCCATTGCATTCTGAACAATGTACTCCCTGGTTGGCAATGAGGAATCATGGAATCATCAGTCCCTTTTGGTTCGAAGGTGACTGGGGACTTGCTATCACCATGAACAAGGACCAGTAAGTTCTCACCAAGTTTTGGAGGTCACTAAGCACCAGAAGGGACATCTAAGGAGATAATTAAGCAGTGGTTTCAACAAGCCAATACCACCCCAACACTGCAAATGATATGCTGAAATGGTTTAGGCAATGCTTTGGTGGTCAGCTCATCAGTTGCAGAACGCAAACCATATAGGCAGCTCATTCGCCTGATCTAAATCCCCCAAATTTTTATCTTTGAGGATTTCTCAAAGCCAATTTGTATACTGACAGGCCCCTAACAATCTTAAGAGGGCAATAACTACCCCAATATTTACCATCCACATTAATGTGTGTAGGTAAGGGTCATTAACAACTTTGTTCGCAGGATTCGTTTGTGCATAGAGAGGAGAAGTGCCCACTTTGAGCATGTTTTGTAAAGGACTGTCGTTTTTGACACAATAAACAGATTACTATCAAACTTTCAGAACAAAATTCACATTGGATGAACTAAATAATTCTTAAATTTCAAGGCAAAATGTGCAAAATTGACCGAGTTATTCAACTTTCTTACGGTCCTGTTTTTTTTTGGACACCCTGTATATGGTGCATTCTAAGCATTTCAAATGTTTTGTAATGAATCCAAATGACAACTAAAACTTTAAAATGTTGATCTAAATCCTACTAGAAAAATAGCAACTCACTTGAGGGGCAATTCCCACCTAATGAAACATATTTTTATTGAATACTATCATCCTTTAATACTCTTACTTTAATACTAGGAAAATATCAAATCATAGAACTGAAGGATGTCGGAGATTTCTCAAGCCTATATATCAGTTCAGATAATTTATCATCCACAATTTAGGATTGTGAACTGATGACATCATCAAAAAGTGTATATAACGATACATCCATTCATTTACAGTTAGAGGTCAACGAATAAAGAAGGAATGGTTCGCATCTAAATATTTCTAAAACGAACGTAAACAGGATTTAGCTGAAAATAAAAAATGCAAAATAACCTTTTCAATGATTTTCTTACAATTTTAACGCTTTCCTCCCCAAAGGGTATCAAATAATCATACAAACAAAATTGTTCAGTTTATAAATGCCATACATATTTTAAATGGCCATTTGCTACATTTTTAATATTCTGATAAAATCATTTTGCTCCCTAACATTGACTGCTCCCTAACATTGACAAGAGTTATTTTTTATTATTTTTTAAAAAATTGAATAAAAGACGGCGTATCTGTTTGAAGTAAGAAATATTTTAATCGGTATTTAGACTATCTTGGATAATAATTAGAAGCCTTCGTTAAATTACGTTAAAAAGTTATAATGGAACAAGGCATTAACATGACAAAATGTCACCACCTAAAACAATTTTGTCAATTTAAAGCAAGTTGAAAAAATACCTCTTTGACTTTTTTTGACATTGAGAAGGTCATTGAAGGTCAAATGTCAAATGTAAAGTCAGATTTGAACTTCTGAGAACATGTAGATGATTTTGAAAAAAAAATTAAGTAAATTTGAAGCAAGTTGAAAAAAGACCTTTTTGACCTTGAAAAGGTCATTGAAGGTCAAATGTCAAATCTAAAGTCAGATTTGAACTTCTGAGAACATGTAGATGATTTTGAAAAAAAAAATTAAGTAAATTTGAAGCAAGTTGAAAAAAGACCTTTTTGACCTTGAAAAGGTCATTGAAGGTCAAAGGTCAAATCTAAAGTCAGATTTGAACTTCTGAGAACTTGTAAAGTCAAATTTGAACTTCTGAAAAGATGTAGATGATTTTGAAAAAAAAAATTGGTCAATTTGAAGCAAGTTGAAAACAGACCTTTTTGACCTTTTTTGACCTTGAGAAGGTCATTAAAGGTCAAATGTCAAATCTAAAGTCAGATTTGAATTTCTGAGAACATGTAGATGATTTTGAAAAAAAAAATTAGTCAATTTGAAGCAAGTTGAAAAAAAACCTTTTTGACCTTTTTTGACCTTGAGAAGGTCATTGAAGGTCAAATGTCAAATCTAAAGGTCATTGAAGGTCAAATATCAAATCTAAAGTCAAATCTAAAGTCATATTTGAATTTCTGAGAACATGTAGATGATTTTGAAAAAAAAATTTAGTCAATTTGAAGCAAGATGAAAAAATACCTTTTTGACATTTTTTAACATTGAGAAGGTCATTGAAGGTCAAATGTCAAATCTAAAGTCAGATTTGAATTTCTGAGAACATGTAGATGATTTTGAAAAAAAAATTTAGTCAATTTGAAGCAAGTTGAAAAAAGACCTTTTTGACCTTTTTTGACTTTGAGAAGGTCATTGAAGGTCAAATGTCAAATCTTAAGTCAAATCTAAAGTCAGATTTGAATTTCTGAGAACACGTAGATGATTTTGAAAAATTTCTTTAGTCAATTTGAAGCAAGTTGAAAACAGACCTTTTTGACCTTTTTTGACCTTGAGAAGGTCATTGAAGGTCAAATGTCAAATCTTAAGTCAAATCTTAGTCAGATTTGAATTTCTGACAACACGTAGATGATTTTGAAAAAAAAAATTAGTCAATTTGAAGCAAGTTGAAAACAGACCTTTTTGACCTTTTTTGACCTTGAGAAGGTCATTGAAGGTCAAATGTCAAATCTAAAGTCAGATTTGAAGGTCAAATGTCAAATCTAAAGTCAAATCTAAAGTCAGATTTGAATTTCTGAGAACATGTAGATGATTTTGAAAAAAAAATTAAGTAAATTTGAAGCAAGTTGAAAAAAGACCTTTTTGACCTTGAGAAGGTCATTGAAGGTCAAATGTCAAATCTAAAGTCAGATTTGAACTTCTGAGAACATGTAGATGATTTAGAAAAAAATTGAAGTCAATCTAAACAGTATTTGTTAAGTTATAGGAAGTTGTAAGAAATTGTTACAGACGCCGGACGCCAACCGCCGGACACCAACCGCCGGACGCCAACCGCCGTCGCAAAAAACGGAGACCATAACAATATGTCACCACTTTTGGTGGTGACATAAAAACGATCATTTTGAGTGTAGGGCGTTCGCGCCTTTTTTAGTAACTTCGTATTAGATTATAAAAGACTTCCGCCGAATTTCGTACAGAAGCGTGATTGACATTGTCATTGCATGTGCTAGTACATTTTCTCTGCGAATGAGCAGTTTTTCAGTAAAAAAATATTTTGTGTGAAAATATTGAAATTTATTGTAAAAACGACCTGCTCCCTAACATTGACCAAATCAGGCGATGACATCCCGTGATCATTGTGAACATTATATAATAGCAATAACCTATTGTTTTCTCCCTTTTGGGAAAATTACACCAAAACAATTGACACCATTCTCAAGTAGCATCACGATAAGGCTCAGGCCTATGATACCAAATCAAATAATCAGTATTTTGTGTTATCAGGAATCAAATTTAAATGATCAAAAATTTCATAAAAAATGGTGGCAATTTTGAATTCAGAGACCATCTTGAATATTTCTTCTTGAGCAGGTCCTTTGTCCCTAAGGCTACATCATACAAAATTTGAGCCAAAGTAAAATGCTGGGTTCATCTTTACACAAAGAAAAATTTGGACCAAATTCAAAAACTGTTAATAGTACCCCACACACATTTTGGTTGCCTACTTCCATGTGCTAAGGTTTTCAAAATTGGCAAAGCCCCTGAAAGTTGAAAAGACTGACATACAACCGGACTGTCGAACAGACAGCTTCTTAATAAAAATACAATTTTACACTGTAAAGAGCTCCCAGAATTTTTTTTGTTTTTCACCTCCCCCCTCAGATTAACCCCTCAACAAACCATGAAACATATACCAGTAATTAACTTTGAATGGCCTAAGACTAAGCTTACTACATGGAAAAGCATAATTGTATAAAATCATCTATACATTATTTTTATTGTTCGGTTTCAGTATAATGTTCACACTGTTCTTACAAATAGACAATATATATCTTTTTTTTATTTTTATTCATATCATGACATATTAGTCACTAAGGTAGAGCAGTTCTTCCCATTGTCGAGTTGAAGAACTGGTATCTTTATCCTGGCTAGAACCATAGACAATTCTAGCCAGCCTTTTATCGAGTTAGCAGCACTCTAGTAATCGCCGGTATAGGTCAGCAGTCATAGGCCAAAGACAAATCACAAGAAGTGCTGTGACCTGGGTTTGAACCCAAGACCTCTACTTTTCAGCCTGAAGCCAGACTTCCTGCTTTTCAGACCAATGCCTTAACCACTAGGCCAACCCGGTGACCACAATACCAGATCTAATGTCATTCAATCAACCCTAATGAAAAGATTTGCAATTTGTGGAAACAACTAAATTTTTTGATTTTTTGGGGATTTCACTGATATCCTGCCATAGCCCTAAAATGTATTTTGCTGGAACATTATTTTTTCAACAATGATACAAAATTCCCTGACATTTCCCTGACACATATACTGTTTCAAAATTCCCTGACATTTTTGGTCCTTTTTGACCCAATTTTAAAATTCCCTGACATTTCCAGCACCTGGAAAACTGCCGGACGTACGGATGAACAGACAGACGGACGTGCCTAGGCCGACAATATGGCCCCACACTATGTGGTGGGGACATAAAAAGTCTTATATACACCCAAGTATGTCCCTCAAAACTCCCATCTTCAACTTTAAACAAGCTTATGAAAGTCAATCCAACCTTATTATTTACCAGATGGTATATAATAGATAAAATATAATATTTACCTAGTCTCTCCAGATGGTATAGCTTTCTGTTTCAGACCTTCATATGCCAAAGTAGGACGTGTGGATTCTCCTCTTCCATCTCGAGAGTAATAATAGTTTGTATTGAGTTTATGAGATACTCCTTGTGGTAACACAGGCAAGGGTGGGTCCCTGAAATGCATACCAAAAGCTTAAGCAAGTATCAACTTTTTAAAATGTTTTAAAATAAAACTACAAATCCTTTAAGACCCCGTGTAAGATTTGAAAATATAGTTTAATCTTTCAAATATTACTTTTCATGACTTGAAAACTATATGAAACATTTTTTGAAAAATATGACTTTCGGAAAAAAGTTGTATGTTCATCTTATACAGTAATTTTCAAATATTTTTACCAATCGCCACCCAGAAATAGGGAGCGGCTATAACAATATGTTAGATATAATAAGCAGTGGTTTAAGCTTTACATGGGGCCTTTAAATGTTGCATGAAAATCTAACAAAATCCCCCATTAAAAAATACTGGGGAGACATTGACAATGGTTATGCATATAACTAGATTCATTATTTATAGAGTGGTAATTTGAATAACCTACCTCACTGACTGTTCACCCTTAAACCTCAGAGGATTCTTCAAATTGTACCTCTAAAACACAAAGCAAAATGGTATGTAGTTAATTTGAATGAAACTTGATGAAACAAAAGACGGAAACTATCAAACCTTATTTTCTGCAAAAGGAAATGATGAATTCTATGGGAGAAATTAACTGTCATCTTGAAAATTTCTCAAACAGAGCTCATTTATCCCCTGGCATTAGAATATAAAGTTTGAACCAAATCTGTCAACTGGTACACCCCATACAGATCGCCTAAATTACATTTGTATGATGCGAGACTCAACATTCACCAGGAAAGTAGAATTATTTCGTCACCCATGAAGCAAATTAATTTTTTACTGCTTAATAAATGGTCAAGGACATTGCAGTTGAGTTCTATAAGTATGAGAATTGCATGACGTCTTGATATTTCAAGGTAACTCATTCGAAAAGTGATGGCGGTGATCGAACTTACGATGTAAAGATAAAACCTTAATAAAATAATTCAGAGGTGTCACGGCTTCCCGATATTGATCCGAATTTCGGTCCAGATGTTTCGGTTTGGGATACGGGACTGAAAGGGTTAATATCAGTTCGGTACATATATTCTTGGCCTAAAATGCATAAAAACGTGTATAAATAGAGAGGAACACCTCCAATCTTGTTCTGAAAAATTAATATATATAATATTTTTACTTACCTCGTACCTAGATTACACTTCTTGGCATTGTAAAGTGTTATTAACGGACCCGCAATTTTAGGTAGATGGTAATGCTCATTCGTAAATTTCTTCATTGTCGTCCGCAAATCGAGTGCATTATCAGTACACCGGATGTAGGAAAGAAATTGAAAAATCGAGCCGGCATCTAAGTGGAAAAAGTCGGCAGTTTGGAAGTATTTTGGGATTCTGATATCACAAGGTAAACGGATTGGTGATAGTACACTGTGCAGACTATGTGAAATGCTGATCACATTCACGGCAAATGCTTTATATTCGATTTTAATTGACGTTTTTTGATTTTGAAAAGTGAAACTGTCATCATCAGACATTGCATCATGTTTAATATTCTGTCCCGTCCCGTCATGAAAGTACTGTTTCCCGAGACCATTTGTAGCGTTACGTACCGTACCCAAATTTTTTTGGACCGTGACACCTCTATGAAATATTTGTAGATTTCTCCAAAGAACCAAGAAATATACATCACATACCGAATTTTTCAAAACAGAAAAAACAGTGCAGTTTTGAAAGAAAGATGGCTAAAGGCCAAGTCCGTGTTTTCGAAATATTTTAGGGAAAAATAGTCTAATTCAAAATCGAATATTATTACAATCTATCATACTTCATGAGGATTTGGACATGTAACATGCGTAATTTATATTTTCAAGTATAAATCAATGTGAAATTATTAAATAATACTAACTCCGAGGCAGACATGACGAATCCAACGAATAATCGGGGTCACTTCCCTGGGCGCAGCCATCTTGTAAGCGCCAAATAAATTGAAACGATTTGATTGGTTGTTGAAAGAAATGTTTTTACCTTATTTAATGAAAAAACAATTCAATATCTTCATATACTTTCTAAATCTTTATGATTTATAATGTAAAAATTAATAATTGGTATTAAAATGTAAATTTTGTATTTTATCAAATTGATGATCTAAAAATTTGGTCCATTCAGTCCTGGGATGTATTGGAAGCCCTGCATGTGAACCCCACTTCTTTCTCTTTCCTACAAACATGGATAAAATTGCAGCCCCAGTGAAGCTCGCAAGAGTAAGCTAAAATATTAATGCTTTACGATCATCAATAGAGTATTCCTATTTACAAATTTACCTTGGTACCATTCCCTAGTTATTAGATATATTCATTTCTGTACTTTACTGTAGGTGTTACTCTAAAATAATTTTGTAAAAATTATCAGAAATTGTCTGATTTCAGGCACAGATTTCTGACATCACTTTAGGCTATAGGCTAGAAGAATTGTTGTTGTTGTGTTGCATAAGCCGCTGTTTCCTCGGCAGTTCGTCTCTTGTACTATAAATTCTCTTTGTGCTCTCTCATGTGCTTCAATTTGCACTTGTTGCGCAGAGAGAGAAGTAATGATTTTGGAAAAAATGCTACACTTGTCCATGTTGTTTTCTGGTTTCATTAAAAATGTCATTATTATATTAGATTATTATGTTTTGTCTGTCATATGTTTTTAGGTAACCAAAGTGCTTGGCCGTACTGGATCTCAGGGTCAATGTACTCAGGTAAGAATGAAAACTTGTTCATTGACTTAAGGCGACGCTATATTAAGGACAGGGTGCATGTTGGGAAATTTTCTGCATTCCTCAATTGAGTCACATGTTATTTTTCAAACATGAATAACTCCTTCCCCACATTGTCTACATCTTCCAAGTTTGCACAAAGAGTGCACTTCTGTGCCTAGAAAAGCCTTGTGAGAAGGTTTGTTTTGTAAAATGTATAAAAAATGAGAAAATTCAGTGAAAAAAATTTCTGAAAATTTTCTGATTTTTTTCACTGAATTTTCTTGTTTTTTATACACTTTATCAAAACATTCTTCTCACAAGTCCTTTCTAGGCACATAAGTGCACTCTTTGTGCAAAACTGGAAGATATAGACAATGAAGGGAAGGAGTGATTCTTGTTTGAAAAATAACATGTGACTCAATTGAGGAATGCAGAAAATTTCCCATCATGCACCCTGACCTTAAGGTCTCATGGAAGTTAACAGGAAATGACAAAACAGGAAGTGACAATTTTTTTGGCATTTTTTAGACATTTTTTGAACAAAGATAACAGAGTTCACTTTTGACCTCCAGTCAATTCAACTAGTGCCAGATACCATTTACAGGTCCAGGATCACAATGTTTATGGTCAGAATGACCCTAAATATCATGAAATAACCTTTTCAGCCCTATGAAAATGTGACTGAAAAATAGCTAAAAGAAGGAGGTAGGAAAGGTCACTGAACAGAATCTTTTGAATTTTTCAGAAAATGTGCCGAATATATTGCTCTAAATGGTACAATCTTTGAAAATTTGATATCATTCATAGAAAGAGAAAAAAAATGAAAAAACTGATTTGAAAAGCGATCTATTTTCCTTTTTATGACCGCAATTTTTGTTTACGACAATTTTCTAAAATTTCAAAGATTGTATCAGTTAGAGCATTATATTGGGCACATTTTCTGCAAAATTCAAAAGATTCTGTTCAGTGACCTTCCCTAGCTCCTACTTTTAGCTTTTTTTCAGTCACACTTTCAAGGGACTAAAAAGGTTATTTCATCATGTTTAGGGTCATTCTGACCATGCACATTGTGATCCTGGTCATGTAAATGATATGTGGAAACAGTTAAATTGACTGGAGGTCAAACCAGAACTCTGTTATCTTTGTTAAAAAAATGTCTAAAAATGCCCAAAAAATTGTCACTTCCTGTTTTGTCATTTCCTGTTAACTTCCATGAGACCTTAAATAATAAGTACAAAAAATGACTGCCATATTTTTTTGATAAAGACACATGTTTTTAAAATCTGTTTACCTTGTATATGAATTGTGTATCTTGACTACTACTTTTTTCAAGGCCTGACAGAGTCACTAACATGCTAAATATAAGAGTTAGCTGACGTTTGGGAGTCTGACTTACCTTCTAAAGGTTAGAACCCGAATCTTAATGAAACCATATCACCTTTGTTCCGTCAACCATGGAGCATTTGCCACAACATCCAAGAGGTAAATCATGGATCGAGAAAATGAATGATTTCCTTGTAAGTTCCGGAAGTTTCAATACGAAAAATTACCGAACATATGTGAAAACCGAATATTTGTTCGTTGTTTTCACGATTTACAGGTTCGTTTGTTCTTCAATGTTTTGGTCTAAATTATAAAGCATCACCAACAGGTCTTACTCTATTAATCGACTAATACAGCAGACGGCTCATATTTCTACGTAGCATTTCATTCAGACCAATAGTGGGAGTGTAGATCACGCAGTTTCGTTCGTTGCATACTTCACTTGAAATTGGTAATTTTAAATATTGACTACTTCACTTAGCTTGGCGGATGTAGAACATTGCTTAATATTCTTTTAATTTTCACACCAGACATGCTTGGTTGACACGTCAACAAAGTAAAGTTCAAGGGTCAATGCGTTATTTCGTGATAACTACAACGCCTTCCCGGAAGTCAACATTGATGAAAAATGAAAAAGTCGGAAAAGCATTTACGCTAATTTCTATCAAATGCTATGTTTATGCATCATCATCGACGCAACAAAGGTGATATGGTTTCATTAAGATTCGGGTTCTAACCTTTAGAAGGTAAGTCAGACTCCCAAACGTCAGCTAACTCTTATATTTAGCATGTTAGCGACGCAGTCAGGCCTTGAAAAAAGTAGTAATGAAACATGTCAAAGTTAAAATCACACATGAACGCATTTTTCCAAACTATGAATTGGAGGTGCATGGATCCCCAAAGCTAGCATGAAGAGTGCGAAGTGAGGCTAATTTTTGAAAGTTTCAAGGAGTAGCCTTGCAACAGTCACACATTTGCAAGAGTCTAAAATTTCCACAAATCATCTTACCTTTCCCAGGAACAACGAAGGAGCATGAAAATGTGCACTTCTTGCATTGTTAGAGTATAATAAACCTCAAACCATTGTAAATTCCAAATATTTCATGTCCACATTTTGTTTGCCGGAACTACTTCTAGACTTCCTGATTAATCCTCATGCAAGTTTTGTGACTACACCAAGTGGCATGGATTATCACTTGTATGTTTTATCTATTACAGTGTAATTATCATGATAGATACATGATAGAGGCTTTATGAATGATAAACAATGGAAACATGAATGAAGATAACTCTGGACTAAAAAATAGTTCCAGGAAACAAAATGGTGGACATGAAATATTTAGAATTCACAATGGTTTGAGCTTTATTATACTCTAACAATGCAAGAAGTACACATTTCCGTGCTCCTTCGTTGTTCCTTGGTAAGGTAAGATGATTTGTGGAAATTTTAGACTCTTGCAAATGTGTGACTGTTGCAAGGCTACTCCTTGAAACTTTCAAAAATTAGCCTCACTTCGCATTCTTCATGCTAGCTTTTGGGGATCCATGCACCTCCAATTCATAGTTTGGAAAAATGCGTTTATGTGTGATGTTAACTTTGACATGTTTCATTAGTCAAGATACACAATTCATATACAAGGTAAACAGATTTTAAAAACATGTGTCTTTATCAAAAAAATATGGCAGTCATTTTTTGTACTTTTTATTTAATAAGCCTTAAGGTTCAGCTGGAAAGTAACATTTTGGTAAAAAATTGCTATACCTGCACTAGTCCAACAACATTAGACCTAGCCCGGGCCTCGTTTCTTATCTGACATGTGTTATGGCCCGGCTAGGTCTAACCTCCATGACCATTTTGCCTTTGATGCGTTAATTTAATCGTTCAGCAGGTTTCGACAAGCGGAACTAATTGAACCCTTAAAACATGGCAATATTACACAAAGAATGTGATTCAAGCATGCATACATACCTTATAAACACATACACCCCGTCCCGTATCCCCCTTAGACCCTATTGATGCATAATTACGAAAATATTGGAGACAGGTTTGGAATATGACGAAAATGTCGGTCAGTTTCGGTAACATCGAAATTGCAAATCGTTTCAGGAATTAACCGTCATCACGGCACTGCATTAACGAACAGTTGGTTTGCAATTAATAACTATTTTGCGTGTATATACGCGCTATATAAATTAATCAAAGATACCTGTTATCCTCAAAATTGATCTTTTTACCCCGAGTAATCGCGATAATAATTATCAATCTATTTGACAACAATTTCGTTTCGCTGGTAGTTTAATTTTACGATCCGGGACACTCAGACGAACAGACACAATGACAGACATGCGGAAATGTCACTTTAGAGATTGGTAAGTGTAGCCTCATTTTACTCGTATAAATGAACATTTAACACAATATTATTGTGTTAAATCACTTGATGTTATGTGTTTTTATATTATTGTCAAGTATCAGTTGCACGTTATCGCGGAAAAATGGTTTCGATGGATTCAGAACTTGCATCAAAGGAAATAATAGTAAGGAGGTTAAACTCAATAATGGCCCCAAGAAAATTCCTAATAATAAAGAACGCCGTTATTGAGTTTAACGACGTTGAACTATACCTGCACATGTTATTTTCTGGTACAAAATTAAGTATGAAGGCATGTGTGTATTTCCTTGCTTTTTTCAGGAAAGTATCATTACACTGTCTACTTTTAGTAAACCTGGAAACAGGTCAATGGTAGCTCCTGTGTTGTCTGGAAACTTTGAAAGAAAATTTGGAAAAAAAGAAATTGTGAAATATCAGAATTTCCTGGAGTTCCCATTGAACTCCTACTAGATATTCTTAAAGAAGACAGTGTAATGATACTTTCCTGAAAAGAGCAAGGCAATTGACACATGTCTTCATACTTTATTTTGTA